CTCACTATACAAAGTAACCAACCAGTCAACTTCACGTTGACAATTCAATTAGATACTTTTATATTAGATTTATCTTCGTGATTCGAACTCATTTTTCTGAATTTGAATCTAAACCAACATTGCTTTTGATTAGCATTTTTCTGTTCATAAGCATCAAGAAATGTAGTTTGTTTTGTCAGAATATTCATATCGATCGATATATTATGATTTTCGTTAAAAATTCAACTCCATTCTAAAGAAAATCGATAAAATCAATCCATTTTTAGAATAGTCGTGTAAGTTCTACTCATGAGAATTGTTTTCCTGCGAAGTTGAAAATCTAAGTTCAATAAAAAAAAAAAACTATTTTTATCGAATATGAACAAACAATCGTGAGATTTGTGTGTGTTCGATCACATATCTCAACTAATTATGCAATGATTCGGAAAAGTCGAATTGTACTCATATGTCACTGTTTTAATGAGAAATTTTGTTTAATTTATGGAAGAAAACTCGATAAAACCGTATAAATGTGATGTTAAATGAAGATCTGAAGGGAAATTATTTTACAATTAATTCCTCCTTCACAACTATTAAATTACAAATAAGAATTTTTTTAATCTAATTCATTTGGTGAAGAAATATTTTACGATTTTTCACTCCGATTTTTTTGTTGAAGAAGTGCAGAGAAATCTTTTAATTCAAATTTTCCTATTCTTTGATTTAATTTAAAAAAACATTTTTCACAATTTCAAACCAAATTTCAACTTTTAAATCATTTTCTTCTTTGCTCAAATTCAATTTTCATTTTTCTTCATACGGGGAATATTTCTCAATTATTCTCAAATTCTTTATCAGTTCAGATCATTTCATTTTCTTCTTCTTCAATGAGTTTTATATCGTTTCAATATCGATCAGAATTCGCTCATTTTCTTTTCTTTCTTGAAGATTTTCTCTGAACTGATCGTAATCACATCGAATTCTTCAATCATGAAAAACAAGAGATGACTTTGTGAAGTATTCCATTCTTTTTTATTTCATTCCTCTATTCAAACGAATGACTTGAAAGGAGGACAAAATGCTTTTGTCGGTTTTTATATAAATAAAAAAGTCAAATAATCGTTGGATTTATCAAACAGATGTTCGAGTTATTTGTTTTTTTATGTTCTCTTTCTATAGACACACAGACGAGTAGTTTGAAAAAAAGAAGATAAAGCTACATGATGTTAAACAGCAAGTCAAAGAAAATGTTTGTTTCGATTAACTTTGTTTCTCCACCATTTCCACAGCAATCTTTGTGTATTCATCCAGGTTTTCTTTGGGTAGACCAAGAATGTCATTATGCAGACCTTTTCTCTCTTCATAATTACTATTCTTGTCCGGGTAGAATGCTCTTGAGTAAAGTAATTTTGCAAAGCCGAGCATGTTACCCTTCTTGAACTCTTCCACTCCGGCTTTGTAACGATCCTTGACTGGTTCATAGTTTACTTTCCAATCATTTAAACTGGTACCAGTCACACGCAGAACCGAGTCCAGCATATCTTTCTGGCTGATATTAAATGACGAAACATAGACATAGTTGTTTCGGAAATCGTTTAGACACGGACTCTTGTCATTCGCATTGTCCTTGAACACCTTCAAGCTGAGCAATTTCGCGACGGCACGACCAGTCTGAGGCCAGGTACTCGTGTTAATGCGAGTATTGCCATCATCGAAGAAAGTGACAGTACGATCTTTGAAGTCAAATCCGTACCGTGCACTACTACCGGCCAGACTGAATTCGTACCAGAAGCTGCACACAAGTCCTATCCAGGAGCTCTTACCCAGCTTTTCGATGTAATCACGGTATGTGGCCTTACGTTCACCAATAAAGTTGTCCTTTTGCATTTCCAAGTCAGTAGGATCACCTCCGAATTCGTTCGGTAAGATCCATGGTACATTTGCAGCTGCTGCTGCTTCGATCAATTTGGTTTGTTGATCTGGTGGTGCTGTGACTGCCATAGTAATAATGAGAACCTCTTGACCTTTAAGAGCCTCAACGAGCGATGATGGATCATCATAATTCACTTTCTTGATTTCGACACCAGATGGTAATTTGTTCGTGCTATCTTCGCGTGTAATCGCGGTGATTTTATGTTTTCCAATCTTGAGCAGTTCATCTACGATGAATTTACCGACTTGACCACCTGCCTGTTAGAAAAATTAAGATTTGAATTAACGGGTGTAACTATCGAATCGAGACAAGTGCAACAAACTCAGAAACTAGTGAGTAAATGTTTTTTCGTCGGGCGAAAGATACATGTCAAATCGAGTTTCAACTTACCCCGACAACAGCGACCTTTTCTATGTAATTTTTGAAACCTTGAGGTTGTTTGTCAGCATATGTTTGTGCCATTATATGTAAAATTAATATAATAAAACTATCTAAAAGTGCGAAGAAATTGTTAAGTCAATCAGTGCAAAATGTGCTGCATAGAAGAAAGACTCAGTTGTTCGGAAATCGGCTAAACTCTCTGGAATTTTATGCATTCCTCAGATACGAAGTGTACACTCTCTCAACTCTCAAATAGCAGAATTACGGTAGGACAGTGAAAGAGAAAGTGAACCTTTTATATGTCAAAAAAATATAATACGAAGAAAGAAAAATGTAATGTTACCACGTGACGAGAAGAGAAAATAATCGCAAAGTCAATGATGATGACGAAGCAGTTCTTTTCGCGGCGTACTTTTTGTGCGATGTGTACTCTGTTCGGCACAAAGCGCACTTTAGTTACATCATTTAGATATATACGAGCATGATATTCATCCATCCATTCCATTTGGAAGCTTTTAGGCACGGCCAACGGCTGTCGTGGTAATCCCTACCGAATGACTCTTGAATTATGACGATCAATATGTGGTATGTATTAGTTGTAATAATATGTTCCAATTATGGAGTAGGAAACTTCTCGACCAATGAGGTAGGTGATATAAATTAAGAGAATAATTATTTTTTTGTCTGAACTTTGGAATAAATTTATCATTTGTTATTAATCAAAATCATTATATTACAGATACTTCACAGACCATTTTCTTGGAATACTCGTTAAAAGTAACAACAGATAGTCAAAGGGATGCAAAAGATTGCGCTCGCTCACTTCATTACGATATGAAACTGAGCTCAAAAACTTCGTATGACGCTTTTTCACGTGATGAATTATTAAAAATAGTACCTTTTCTACAAATCATGTTTATCATGATTTCATCAACATTGTTTCCTCAATTTTAATATTTCGAAACGAACATTTATGACAAGTTGAATGTAAAAAATATCTTTTAATATCATCAATCACTTCTTGTTGTGTCAATTTTGATATTTACAATCAAATGATGGTTTGCTGAATCTCATTCACACGAATGTATTCTCTGTTAATCATTCGATTCTTTCATGTAGTTCGAAATCGATGGAGATTCTGTTGAACGTACTGTTACAGTTTATCAACATGTGAATTTTAATAGAGAATAACAAAAGCAAACATGTTGCTCGACAAGTCATATTTTGTTTACAAAAGTTTCATCTGAAAAGAAGATGTCCATTGTACCCTCGCTCTTCGTGTATTAACTATGTCGATTGTTTCACTACACTCGTGATAGCAACAATAAAAATGCCAATAAAAACGATGAAATAAAGCAAAGTTTCGATCGGAAATTTCATGTACTTTTGATAACTGTTTGTGTAGCACATGATTTTAATAGAATCAGAACCTCGATGTTGTTCTATCAACTGTGCAATAGCTGTTTGTGCATAATTTGAAATGGCTAAAATTTGATGATCCGTAATGTGGGTGTATATCGGAATAGTAAAAAATCTATTAATGTATCCCGGCAACACATTGTCAGATACTTTAATCATGTGCGAATGTAAAAGGTTTCCGTTGATTCGAAAGATATGCCAATTCCAAATAGTAAGATCAAGATAAACTACGGCTGAAACGACTGGAAATGCGACATACGCTTTCACATTCGAACTTAAAATTCCCAACACGAACGAAACGACTACGACAGCGAATATAAGCAACCGATAGAGCAAAAGACGACCTCCTCTCATTCGTTTTTTTCCAGTTGTGTTATCAAATGATTCAAAGCACGTTACAGCATGATTATATTGGGACGCGTATGTACTTCGAACCCAAGCTAATTTTCCAGTTGCTTGAGGTGTGCCAATAGTAACTCGAGCAGTTAAGGAGCGACCCGCGGCAATACCCATGGATCCATCACTGATTGTTGAAACACGATTATTCCACATGAAAACGTTTTATCCTGAATTGATCACGTTAATATAAAGACCACAAATGGCTTTTTCCCAGAAATCAACTTGTAAAGGAACAGTAAAAATATTTCCAACATGAGATATTGTATCATAAAGCATGGTGGCTATATTGACTAAAGGTGAAGTTCTGTTATTTGCATGTCGATAAATCTCAAGTATCGGAAATGAATTACTTTTGACAATGTTCGAAAATAAATACGAATACGAGACTTAACTTGATCTTTAATCAAAAGGAACGTAGGAAAAAATTAAGTATACTCGATTTACGTTTCGTCATCGAAGAATTTCAAGTTGGAATATATGTAATCTGATTTCTTTTTGTATTCTGTGATACTTACAATGCGCTGCGCATCTCATTCGAGTGATCGTAGTCAATGTGTGTCATGCTGTATAGCAAGAAAGGCTGTAGAAATGGGAATTTCCAAGTGTATAAACCTCACCTATTCACAAATCATAGTTCATTTTTGTTGAAAACACAATTACCTTGATTTTCTTATTTATTTACTACTGGTATCAACAACATAGAGTGTTTCTGTCTTGCACGATGTTTTACATTATAGTAAGTGGCTCTATGGGCGTGTGTAGTTGCTTGAAAAATCTTCCATAGCCTATGTGAAGGGCACGAATTCGTTATCAATGTAATTCTTGTGATCAAACAGCAGAAGGAAGTTCAACAAACTCGAAAAATTATTCAAACCGAAAGAGCATGAATCAGATCAACGAAAGCGACAATGATTATTGATAGGTTAGATCAGTCACTGTCGATATCTCAGACAAAACGAAATCTAAGAAACTCAAGTCTGTGAAACTATGAATGCTCGTAAATACTCTCATGATTCTAATTTTTATTATTTTAATATTTAATTAATAGTATCCCTCATAAAATGGTAAATATCATTTTTTGAACCGAAATTGTTTTCCTAAGCGAGATCAATATCTTGAACTGACAAAGTGGATGGGTCCTCATGGATTCATTCATATATAAACCAAATAACATAGCGATTGAAAAATAATTTCTTTTTTTGTTACATTAGTTTTTGGATAAGACAATCAAGAGTGAAATCAATCATCTCCATGATATGTCCTCTGTTGAGAATCAAGCACAAAATAACGACCTGATCATAACTCACCTGTACTCAGTGAAAGTCGTTCAAAAATGATAAACAGAACGAATTGAGTTTACTTTCTCTAATTCAGTAGTATAGTGACAACCATGACGGACAAAATCTCATTTGAGATGTTTCGAAACATTCTGTCCGAGCGAAAGATCTTCGGAGTTTCCCTTGTGCAGGTGATTGTAAAAGAAACTCAAGAAGTTAAAGTGCTAGCGTAGAATTGCAAGGCAACGCGTTGTGATACGATCGAAAATTATTTCTTTTCGTTTATTTCTGATTGATTTTTCTGATTTCTTGAAAAGATTTTATTGATAATAAATGAGAAAAAAGCTTAAGGATTTGATAAAAGACAAATATCATTCGGTGTTATTGCTTGACTGAAAATGTAGAATTCATCAATAGCACCGACAAATTGTCCCATTCCGATCGATCCTCTTTGACAAGAAGTTGCATTCGTCGGTGAGGAACCAAGAAAAACATAAGATCCAACGGGCGAACGTGTTGATAGTGATGCATTTGACATGATCAGAGTTCCATTTATATGGAAGTCGGTTCCACTTGATGGATCATATCTTTGAAGAAGATGAGTCCATTGATTCAACGGAAATGAATTTGAAATCATCATTGATGTGAGCTGATTTGATGAATCAATGAAGTTCACAATCAATGAACCATTCAAAGAAAATCCCCACAAGGAAAAACAAACACCCAAACCTAAAAAACAACAATAAAAACAAATGAAAACCATTTGCGAAACGATAAGAAATGTTCACCATCAGATTGAGTTGATGTGTGAAGAAATGTTCCACCAGCACCAACACCAGCAGCACCAGCACCAGCACCAGCACCAACACCAACACCAGCAGCACCAGCACCAGCACCAACACCAACACCAACACCAACACCAACACCAACACCAGCAGCACCAGCAGCACCAGCACCAGCACCAACACCAGCACCAGTAAAACTCAATGGTTTAATCCACATGGAGATTGTGAATGGAGAATTCAACATATTGAAAAAATTAACTCCTTCAATTGTCACATATGACAATGAAGATGAGAATTGTATTCCTTGATTTACTCGTCCAGTTGTTTGGATTCCATTTGAATTGATGGCATTGATTAGATTTGGTCCTGAATCAATCAAAGGTGAGAAGGATTCGAACTGGAAATAACAGAAAAGTATTGCATTTAAGTAGATTTCACAGGGACTTTTAACTCGATAACTGATTCCAAAATGATCAATAGAACCAGAATAATAAACAAACTGTGATGCATCTCCACCAATCTGACCACCTCCAATTGTAAATGATCCTGTTGTTCCAAGAAAATTATTACCCACAGTTCCATTCCCGTCTAAGACACCATTCAAGTAAATCAGTTGTTGTTTCACTGTTGAATCGTACACAAATGTTACATGATACCATCGATTTATTGATAAATTTGTAGTGGCATATGTGTCATGATCATAAAATCCTATGCGAAGAAGTTTGAAACGAACATTGAGAAATAAACATTCATCTGTTGTTGATGATTGGTATTCACCTCCAAACTGAAGATCTTTAAAACTTGTAAGATCAGTGACATAAAACCACAAATCAATCGTAAATGAACGATTATCCAAGGGAATGTGTGTTTCAGTTGAAAGATACTTTGAATTATTATATGTGAAATTAATAGCTGAACCAATCCATCCAGGTATGTAACTTGGCGTAAAATTTCCGTTCAGTGAATAATTCCCGACAGTATCGAATGTGTTATTATCAAATGTGTAAAATGCAACTGTTGATATTCTTGATATTGTTGTATTTAAACATGAATATTCACAAGAGACATTTTGCGGTGCTAAAAATTGAAAACATAAGTTTTATTGTCCGGAAACGTCGTATCAGAGTAGTACTCTGCTGGCGAAGAGAAACAGGTCATGTACAGAAGCTGCTTTTGCGCATATGTTTATATTTTTAGAGAAAATAGCTTCAACTACACTCATACATAGACAACATTAGTTCCGATCTTATTATTCTCAACAATTTTCAACAAATCCTCCTCAAGATCACTTCAAGTTGACCTACCTGGAGGTGAACATTGATTATTCGGTCCTAAACAGAAGATCAATGATAACAATGTCATCACAACAATCAACTGACCTTGATTTCTTCGATAACAGATCACACTCGCTCGAACATCTCCGGATGATGTTATATTACCAGATTGACAATCGTCACTAAACATCAAACAAGTTCGATTGTCATGAAAATAAACAGCTGTTCGACATTGATCTTGATGAGCACATTCCCAAATACAAGATTGAATCGATGCATCACCTGCTAAAGTGACATTTGACAGAAAAGGACAAGAAGAATTGGCTTGATAGAGTGAAGATCGATGAACTTGGCTTATGATAATGCCATTGATTGGGCAGATAAGGAGAGAAATGATCAGAATTAAGTTCACTATCATATGCGCTGCTTTGTTATTTGAAATAAAAAGAGAAATAGAATGAAAAATAAGGTAAGTCTAAAGGGAGTAGGGATGTTTTTCAAAGAAGGGTGTGACATTTTTCAAATAAAAAACTTTTTTATCACAGATTCTCTGTGCTAAAGGAAACAGGGAGGAAAGCGTGGGATTTTTGCCATTCATTTTCTTTTCTGTGAATTCTCTTATATAGACAGACACAAAACCCGTATTGAAACATTTTTCTCAAAGAACAATACGCACTGTTGCTCGTAAACTTCGTGAGAATAGAAAGGAATGCATCAAATATTAGAATTAATTTACGTCAGAAGAAAGGGCGTTGATAGTTGTGTGTGCAACATCAATGAAATAATACTTATGTCAACATTTATAGCTCTTATAGGGAGAGTGAACATCGTTTTTAAGTAAATCCGACAGTATTCAATATTGACTTTCAACCCCTGTATCAGTCCAGCATTTAGTTTGGTTTTTGTTCAATGTAATCTACAGATCCTTGTCAACTGAGCTTAGTTCCTTACGCTCACGCTCCTCACAACATTTTCTCGTAAGTAATTAGATCTCCTTGCGTGCTTTTATCACTCTTTATGAGAACTTTAAAGTCACAGATTGGACAAGCAACAAATAGTGGACGTAAATGAATATACAAAGTTGTCACACTCTCGCCCACCCAAATTTGTGTAAGAAATAATGCCAATGAAGCATTTAATGGATACAAACATTATATTGCGTTTGATCATGTCTACTTGGAAGAATGTTAAACAATGTTATTTGAGCAAACACACGGAAAGGTTTACCGACTAGAAAGATTCTTCGTGTTAAGGGAGAAGCACGCTTCTAGAAATCGTTATTTGATCGAGTTCAAGATATGTTACAAAAAAAGGAGTGTACGATCTATAATATCAGTCTTTACGTATTTTCTTTTCTCTAACGGGCATCTTATCTACTGAAGTGTCAATGTGACTATGAAATAATGTTACAAAAGTCGTCATTTGTTCGTCTCGAGAACGACATAATTGCTAAAAGGAAATGATAAACTGAAAATAGAAGGAATTGCATACAATTTCATTCGTCTATCTGCCGCGTACTTTATAATTCTTTATCTTACCAACCAAAGAAACTAAAGTTTTTCCATATATAACCTTCTCATCTCACTCATAAACAAGGATACCGATTACAAAAGGTTCTAATCGCATTACTGATATCTCAAAACGGTCCAGAACGTTATCTATGGAAATTCTGCGAGGTTTACATAATCAACATCTAATCGTATTCGAAGTTGATCTTGGTTACCAAGCGAAGAATTCGATCTTTGTTCATTAAAATTATAACCTTCCTCGAAATGAGAAAAACACGTTTTCAGAAGAATGAATAACTACAATTTGTAGAAATCATCAGCTTATAGAACGAACAATCAATTATTCCATAACGACATTTCATGAATTTTCAATTATCGAATCTTTTATCGAGAGAATATTCTCACAACATAATTAAAATAAACATTTTCACACAATTCGAATGCCATTTCCTTAAATAACACATTATTTTTTATTCAAAAAAAACATTTCTATACAACTAGGTCTTCCTCACCGTTTATATCGATCATTTCGTATTTGACAAAGAACACATTTCTGATTGGTTCCTCTTACATTTTTCAATCCGAGTGCGATGGAAGAAGATTTGTTGATAAATGATCTTTGATCCGTAGAAATTTCTAATAATACTTTGATAGTCGCAGGGAAAACTATTGTAACGTTTCTGTATTGACACAATCGAACGTGTAAGAAGAAATAATCTCGACAATGACAGTTTCAAAAAAGAAATGCTGAGCATCTTTGAATATTCATAGATTAATATAATTTTGTTATCGTTCGTGTTAATCGGAAATTACAATCAGAAGATTGAAGATATTTCTGTTTTTGAATCAAGAAACTCATATTAGATATCTGAAGAAAAAAGATCCAGATGGTTACGTTCTCATATGAGTAAAAACAGAGTAGAATCTCACTTTGTGTACATTCTGTTATATTTGACTTTCATCAACACTTCTCAGAGATTATCTAAGCTCTTAAAGAGAATCTAGTTTTGAGGATGTATTTCAATTAGTTTTAACTAGATCTTGTGTGTTTCCGACCAGTATTGCATCGATTTTTTCCGAAAAAAAGTATAATTTACAGTTGAGTCTATTCATAAATGTGCATTTTTTCCGTTCATTTTCACTATGTCGATGTTAAATTAAAATCAAACATAGTAAAATAAATACTGTGACCATACATCGTCTAGTAAAATCATGAATGTCAATAAAGACGAGTTTATTGAAGGACGTAAAAAAAAGTGTTATAGGTGACGGATGGAATTTTTATTTACATTAACTTTGGCCACAGATGCCAAAAGAGATACTTGCCTTTCAGATTTCTGCCTCGAAAGTATTGCTTTTTCCTTCGTTCATTGGTAGCAACTTCCCACATTATAATGGAACTTTTTATTCTCCTTATAGGGGTACCGCTTTTTTTTCAACAAAACTACCTACAAAAGTAACGAAAAGTCATCCTATTTTTACAATTTCACAAATATACTGAAGTTCTTCAACATGGTTCGTTTTTCTTTTCTGGTCCTTTCATGGAACAAAAAAATTGTACCTGACGTCTCTCTACAACAAGCTGTTCAATCAGTGAAATCATTACTCTTCAACTGTGATGCAATGGTCGAAAACGAAACAATGGGCTGACATAAGATGAGTTAACATCCATTCGAGGAATAGTTTGGCGTGGTGTTTGCGTTCTTGCACAGAAGCGGTGAATGTGATGGAATCGTTCATTGGAAATGATTCTAGTCGAATAATCTTCACAATCGAATGTGTCAATGGAAAATCAATTCAATCACGCTCGTACTTTGAAGATGAAAATGAGATCGTTCTTCTGTCTGGTAATTATTTCAAAATTGTGAGTAAATGGAAAGCCGGAAAAAATGTTTATATGGATCATTTGAGAGAACAGAGTCCACCTTATGAAACACTTACTTCATCCTTGGATGAACTGTTGCCTTCAATGAACAACTTGTCAATTTCAGTAGAAAGGAAATCTAATTCGAATGAAGAAACCAAGCGAAGTGAATCATCCTGATCTGGTGGTATCTTACGGCGACATCGGAGATGTGCGCTGCAACCTGGGTCACTACTCAAAAGCATTGCCGCCAGATTATTCTGAAATCGTAAGATTTAAAGGAAACTCTGCTCATATTGACGAGAACACAGTTGGATATGTTTATTCACAATCACACAATAAATAATACACGTCGGCTTGGAGGGATGCAGTTTTTTTAATTGCATAACAGTATAACTAAGAAGGACATCTTGAAATCGAGCCGAAGAATTGTCGTTGATTAAAGTGTCAGAAGTAATGCATTTATAGTGAATAAAAGAGAATAGATACCATCGACTAGACTCGCACGTTTTGATTATGTGAAGTTCTCGTATAATTTTGATTTATACGGATACCATAAACAGGTAATTTCAACTTATCTGTGGCGTTTGATGTTTTAGATTTATTCTCTTGACTGAAACGATGCGATCATATAGGCAAAGAGAGTTTATAGTTATATCTGTTTATCTATGCCAATACCATCAGTGTTCGATGACCAATCAGTAAGCAGCTAATAGGATGATATGATCTGGCTTCAAATTAGCGAATGTTTTGGTTTTGTAGTTACAGAACACGAAGTAGGACAACATTTGGAACAAACCTTGAATACTGTGTGTAACATCAAGTGGTTGGGAATGACGCACCGAAAAGACGTGGATGGTCGAATGCGAGACAGACGTTTGGCAATAGATTCTAAAAAATACTCTATTAGAACATGAAAATTAGTCGAAGTCCAAGGAAGTCGTTCTGAGGAGCGCCATTTTTAATAAAACAATGAAGAAATTGAAACATATTTAGGTGGTGCTTATTCCTTTATACATCAATCAAATTCCCGTGCAAATTATATTGATCAAACAGATGAGCTATCAACTACATTTCCTGTTTAATCCAACAATAATGAAATATTGAGTTTCCTGTCTTCTTTGAACGATTAAACAAAACTTCAAATTGATTCATCGAGAAACTATCTAAAACACGAGTATCATTGGTCGACCAATCCGATACTGATTCCGTCAGAATACAGTGTATCTAAAAGTAGATCTTAGAAGATCGACAGCAGTTGATTGAAGCTTTCCAGAAATTCGAAAGAACTGTGCAGAATATTTCGAATCTTTGCCAGATTTGTGGATTTAGAGTAGTTAAGAATCGATCGGTCCGATAGTGTCTGAATGACGAGTCCGATTTAGATTTATTGAAAAAATATTCAAGTACAGCATAATATTTAGGTTTAAATTAAAATCTTTGATAAGCACGAATCATTTTGTAATTGCACTTGTCGATGAAATGTCATATTGTCCAAATCCTTCTTTGTTTTCTCGGTACTTTTACGGAGCAAAAAATCGATGAGTTGGTTGATAAAAAATAGAATGAAAATCAATATTTTTCATGAGAAAAGTCAGACAGATGGATATGATTTGCTTTTTTTTCTTCTGCTAAATCATCATTTCAAAAGAAATATAAATCAAGGACATACATATAAATCGAGTCAAATTCGTTAATAAATGTGTATTCAATACTAAAAAAATGAAACTTTTCTTATATTTCATCTTCTTACATTCGTTGGGAGAATGTATTCAACCATATTTTCCCCGCCAAGTGACTTTTCTCGCACGCGAAAACTACGATGGCAAGAAGAATCTCTTTGCAATCGACGAAATAAATCAACGAGCATATCAAAGTTGGGGAAAGAAATCATTTGATGAAAGGCGAGCTTATGCTATGAAAGATATGCCATATATGTTTCCTGATCCTTCTCAATCGAAATACTATGTTCAATTGTCTTACTTTACACCACCACCTCCACCTGGTTGTCATTATGGAATATATGCTCTAGATGGACTTGGATTTTCATTTAATGTATTTCCTGATCATTGGCAAAAACATTTGGATTCATTTGAAATACTAAATTATGTTCATTTTACGTCTAAAATGATTCATTCAAATCAATCGAAAGAAAACGAAGATTATTGGTATTCTGATGAAAAATGTCGATTAAGCAGTGGAGAAATGGTTCCATGCCAAGAAATTTATTTTAGAAGAGGTACGGAAATACCTTTACGAACAACTCGTGTTGATTATAACATAGTGGCTTTGGTACAGAAAACAACAGCATATGAAATTTTATCAATCGGAGAGCCAGATGAAAAATATTTTGATTCAATTCCAAAAAATTGGACTGAATCATGCGAAGATGCTAAATTTGGAATTAGCTATGATGGGAACTCCTCATATTTATATCCAGGTAAAACGGTACTAGTTCAAGTTTGGCTTCGAACTGCTCCACATAAAGTTAATGGAAATGATACGCTGCGTATTCAGTGGACAGCGCATGATGATGATAAATATATTACATTGACACCAAAAGAATTAGTTTTTAATGGAGAAAATTTCTCGGAAAAACAAACTTTAACAATAAAACGTCATGAGGGCCAAGCAGAAGCAATATTTTATCCAATTTTTCACGGTGGAGGTCTTGAACCTGTTTTTACAGAGAAATATTCTTTTACGCTTTTCAATGAACTTGGATAAGGAGAGATTTGATAGAACGAGAAATAAAAGACTTCTCCGTCTTTCTAAAGACAAATCAGCGTTGATATAATTTTATTTGCTTGTTGCACTCTTTACTTTGGAAAAGTATATTTAGAAGAAAAGTCACTATTTATTACTATTGTTCATCATTAGACAATTATTTGTATTCATTGAAGTCGACTCTTCCAGTACAGTCTGTAACTGCAAACATTCGGAGCTGTTATCGACTCTATGTTAATCCATAGTTTTTCTTGAATTATGAAATTAGCCATCTGAAGAGAATATCAATGATTCAAATGTTAGTTTAAATTGCGGATAGCTTTCATCTATATCATATTGGAAAAGTGAATTTGAAGATGGAGTAAATTGATCGAATGTATAGTTATTTATACAAGTAACCATATGTGTCGATAGTGCTTATATTTACAACATTGGCAAGAAACTCTAGGTGAGTTATTACCATGAATTATGCTCGAAACACTTAGTTTGGGAACATCTTCAAAATGTATAGTTGATATTATGTTTGATCTCGACTATTCTTTCGCAGATTACAACAAAAAATCAAACTTAAGGCTTCTTCTTTGACAGGTCTTATCTTGTGCCTTCGAGTTTCTTTAGTTACACGAAATGTGCTGTTGAGACAATTTTTGATTCTTCAAGTTTAACTAAATGGATAAATTAAAAATACAAGAAAAGCATTCGAAAAGTCAAACTGGAATGTTGAAACTTTCTGTATATGATCTTGTGAACAATAATACAAATATTTGCAATAAAAAGTGAGCTCAGTCTACGGACAAAAAGAATGTTTATGATCACACGCAGAGACAAATCGATTAGAATCGCTTTTTTTGTCAATTACTTCATTTGTTACTTCAATTGATGTCGATTTATACTGTTCTATCCTTGAAGTTTCCATTGTCTGCATGAAAACGAAAGTTAAAACAAATTGACTTTGGTCGAAATATGACAAGATGATACAATACTGATTTCGCTTCAATGAAATCGAACAATTAAAGAAAAAAATTCATCGATTTTTTCAAAGATTCATTTGACTTCAAGCGAACTATAGATCACACAAACGAATGGTCAAGAATCAACAATTCAAAGATTACTTAATAAACGGATACAATGTAATCAGTTCTCATGAATTTTTTTTCTTCATTAAATCAAATCTGTGACATCAATTTTATTCATACCTTTTCAGATCAATCGGAGAACTGAATACGATTTAATTAAAATTTTCAGTGTTAACATTATTTTCATTATTAGTTAACGCTGTTCATGTTATTTTCCAGATGAAACATTCTTTTCTTATATTTATTTCTCCTTCATTTCATGGCACAAAGAATTGTACCTCAACGTTTTCTTGATCTTCAACAAAAACCACAACAAACTCTCACACCAACCAAAGGTTATAAACAATCGTCTCTTGTCACTCTCAAAGAAGCTGTTCAACCAGTGAAGTCGTTCTTCTGTCTGGTAGTTATTTCAAAGTTGTGAGTAAATGAAAAGCCGAAAAAGATGTTTATATGGTCCATTTAAGAGAACAGAGTCCACCTTATGAAACACTTACTTCATCCTTGGATGAACTGTTACCTTCAATGAACAACTTATCAATTTCAGTAGAAAGGAAATCTGATTCGAATGAAGAAACGAAACGAAGTGAATCATCCTGATCTGGTGGTATCTTACGGCGACATCGGAGATGTGCGCTGCAACCCGGATCACTACTCAAAAGCACTGCCGCCAGATTACCCTGAAATCGTAAGATTTAAAGGAAATCTTGAACGTGTTCGAAGAAAATTGTAACTTGTAATTATGTTTGTCACACTGTGATATAAAGATAAAGTCAATGAATAAATAGGAGTATGAGGTTAGATACAGAGGAAGACTCGGTTTATCTTGAAAACTACAGAGTAGAATGCGAGCACTGACGTTGATATAGCAAGTAACACACAGCTGAATCGATAGAGTAGAAAGTTGTGTTGCGCATGGGTCAGCAAAGCTAGAAAAGTGCGTTGAAATTGAGCAGAAAATAGCCGTTTAGTTTACAAATCCAATCTGATTGAAATCAATGAATTTGACGACATCGTGTTTTAAATTCCGATGGTATATATTTTGCATCGTTTTGAAAGAAACACAATTCATCGTCTCACGTTTTTCAATAATCTCGTGCAATTTCAAAAAACTGTCTATTTTTGTCTTTCTTCACTTACATTTGATATCTCATTTACAATAATAAATACCGAATAAAGTTCGGATAAGGCAGATATTTATGACCAATGACTCTGTGATTTTCATTCAACTATTCTGTAACTGACAAAATATGTTCTGATTGAACATTTTGTACATGCAGAAAACCGTTTGGCTATAATCAAAAAGACGGAGAATTAGTTTATCCTGCGTCTGGTGTTTACATGGGTTATTCTTGGTAAATAGACAAAACACATAAATCGATAGAAATATTGACATTCGATCATTTGTTCTTCTCGATAATTTCAACTGAATGGAATTCAAACTTAGTTGCAGCGTCTAATGCTCAATAATGTCTATTTACTTGGAACTAAAAATATTACCTATCTGTTGTTTTGATGGCAGTTGAAAATGAATTTTGCAGAAAATCCTCTTGGTTTCAATCGTTGAAATTTCATCAAATGACGATCAACAAGATGTTTTTTACCTTTTACTTGTGAGCACTATTATTCGGAAATTGTCTCTCGAAATAAAAAGAAAACCTAAATATGAAAAACCTCCGTTGTTATTCGATGATAACTATTCAATAATTGCTGTTGTCTCGAAGTGAATTTTCTCGGTTGTTGTTCATTATTTGACAAACAAGAATAAATTCCTATTCTCCATTGTCCTTCTACATTCCACGCCTCAATATTCAACAAATCTCTCTTGTTCTGGGATCGATTTTTCAGAATTCCACCATTCCACCAAAGAAGTGTTTTCTGTTCATCGTAATGCAACAGATGTCCACAAATGATCGTCTGTTTCTTCTTCTTTCCTATTTGTCCGATTCCCGCAGTCATAGTTGGAACAAACGAATAAGATAGATTCATCATATGTAAACCAATCCACCACGTATCTTTATCGCCATACAAATGTTCATATGTGATTCGATGTCGTTCGTGATAATCATTAAGTTTACAGATAGCGAGAAGACCGAAGAAAAGACGAGATTTGTCGATGAGAACAACACCGGATTCTTGTGTTCGTTGAGGATATGTTCGGTTTGATTGTATGGAGAAGGATTCAATCCAATGAATATGACCTTTTGTGATGATTGGACGATCATGGAAAAATAAACTTCCTGTTTGAATGTATAATTCATGTTGAAATAAGATCGACGGTTTTTCAAAAAATAGAACATCTGCATCGATTAGAAGAACTTGTTCGAATTGAGAAGCTAAAACAGCATATGATTTGATTTCCCAACCTCGCAATTTCAAATAATTATCATTAAAACTCATTGTTGATAGATCAATTAAGCGAATATTTGGATAATTTTTCCTTAGAATGTCTTGATTTTCCTGAGAAAGATCAGATGAAGTTGAATAAATGACTTCGATTGGTAATTCATTTTCAATGATTTCCAAAGCTTTGATTGCCACTAATGCGACACCGAAATGTTCATTTCCTGTGCAAATCACGATTCCTTTACTGTTCTTTTCCCCCTTGAAATCGTTCACTGTTCGATTGTTCGGCGAATAATAAATCCATGGAAATAACTTTTCAGTGAGATTTGCACTCGGATTGGAGAAATATTCGCGTAAATCAGATGTTAATTCAGTGAAATTCAAATAAATTTTTCGTTGAGTGATCGCTGGAGAATCATTGTATAGAGAACAACATTGATAAATAAGTAAGAGAAGAGGAAAAATAATTAAACAGATTAAGTGATATTTTTTTCGACTGATTTTCTCTATGAAAATATTAATGTTGTAAGAAGAAGAGAATCAGAAAATATATTTGCACTTACTTGATAGAGCGGCCATATTTCTATTCAATGATCGAAAAAAAAGAACACGACAGAGAAGCATGGGCATTCATATGTGACGGCAAAATGCGCTTTTCAATCAATTTTTTTATTCATCCTACTTTTTGATTGATAATGATCACACATGTGTGAAGAGGATGCAATCATGTTATACGATCAACAACGTAATTAGCTGTGCGCCCTTTTTTTGCTTATTTAAGATATCAAAAGTTGATGGCGTAAAATGGGAAAAAAGTCATTTGTTTCTACTTGTTTTGTTCTTTTCCAATAACTTTGTTATATACTTCAAAATATTTCCAATATTTGGACTTCCTAGTCCTGTAACAGGATCCCAGCCACATGCAGCTTGAAAACCTTTACATTGATTCGTACATATAGTTGAAGTACATTTATTATTTCCAACTGTTATATCTTTCAAACAGTTTGGACATTCTTTTGCCATCTGGTAGAGTAGTGGATTTAGAAATCCCAACGTTTTACCCGTTATCTTTATCGAATGTGAGTTGAGAATGGAAACAATACTAGCCCATAATGGTGATGATGAGGGTGTGGGTGAATCAGAACAACAGGATTCTACATGAAACTTTGTATCCCAAAAAAAGCCTAGGCAGATTTTCAAATCGGCCAGATTGTCGAAATTCCTGTTGAGGGTGAGGGTGTGGGTGTGAGGGTGTGGGTGAGGGTGAGTATGGGTGTTCACTTCATTATCACCCACGTTCACATCCACAACAATCCTTCATCGAGACATCTCGCTCCAAACCCATGTATGACTAAGAGCTATATCTGTCTCTATTTGTTCGTCATTCCTTAATGTTGGAAAGTAAATATTGTTATCATGTAAAAATAAAATCTGCTAAGAGGAATAGTGTACTTGACGAACAATATCAAGAAGATTTTGTAGACGTTTTAAAACTTTCAAATGCGTCAACATGCTTAGACACATAGTTCGAAAAAATGACGCCACTTTTCTCTCAGTGAATGTAATGGAGAACTTAAAGGTATTTTTATGTTTGCTAATAGATAGAAAAGATATACGTCATTATTCTGCAGGCTATCAGTATTTCGAAGAATATGAAAAATGAACTTTTCTTTCAAATAGTTACTTAAGATAATAGATAAAGTTTTCATTTTAATATTACAAATATGTGATTCTTTTATAATTAGATTTCAAAACTTCATAATCATAAATTAATGATATATCGAAATGTGAAACTATCTTAAAACAAATATTTCATTTTAGAATTTAAATTTAGATCAAATTTTATGTTGAAACAATTCAGACGAAATAGTTATATTCAATTATTAAATCCAAGACATTATCAACATAATACGATTTGTAATTCAATCCTGTTTGGATATTTTGGTATTAGAACGATTTCATTACCGAAAAATCATGATTTACAAAAATTTGTCCATGACAAATCATTTGACAGTTTAGCAGAATCAATTGTATTTCATGAAAATGCATGGGAAAATGGCAAAAATATAAAAGGATTTTTTACCAATGATCAAAACACATTGAAAGCAGTTGGTAATATCTTAGCCAATAACTCACATGAAAAATTTCTCTCAGAATTACTATTAACACCTCCATCTTTATCAACCAATGAACAACGTTCACGCCCAATTAATTTCTCATCGATTGAAAATTTTCCACATTATATGGATGATTATGAAAAGAATAAGACACAAAGAGTATTAGTTACTGTTGGTGGTCCAGCAGCATTAGATACAGCTGTTATTGCTAGTCTAATGAATAATATTAAATTGTCGAAGATCATTCATATATCTGGTTCATTTAAAGAGAGTAATCTTGCCCATTCTGCTTTACAACTTCATGTACGTCATGGAACAGCATTAAATGCTGAATCTGAATTAACAGGACATGCTTTGTTATTACCATTTTTAATTCGTAATATTAAAGGATGTTCAATGAAAGATATTTTACATCCCGATTTTCGAAAAATCGATGTCAAATTTTCTAGTCTCACGCCTGAAAAAGTACGTATCTATTTAGGAAACGAATTCAATTGGTTTTGGCAAATGATACGATATCGATTAGGTTTGATAACAGAACATGATTTAAATCGTTTAGAATCAGCCTTTTCCCAAGATATTCTACATTTAATAGAATATTTCAGTAAAATGACACTTAGTAGTAATGCTAATAGAGATCCTTCACAATCAATTTCCATTCATATCGATTTAACTCATACTGGAAGTGAAGAAACTCTCGTCAATAATAAATTGATTAAAAAAACTGTTGGTATTATATCAGAACAACTTTCAGAGTACGAAAAAGACTTTTTCTTCGGTACACAGAAGGTAAATATTATTGAGGCCACTCGTTATCACAATGATGGTAGCCTATTAATGGAAGCTCAATGTAAAAAACAAAATATTCTGACAAATCGTGGTGGAATAAATCTTGAACAACATATTACTCATGTTCTTTTTGCTAAAGATGATGTAACAACTGGAAAAACTCGTCTAGCTGGTTTAATAACCGATAAGAATCAATTTATTTATGCTTCACATTTACATTTAAGTCCAGGATATAAAGCCAAATTTCAATTTGATAAAGCACGAGCAAGTCGATTTATAAGAAATTTTCTGAATAAAATGGAAAATAAGTTCAATATTTCTTCTCCTGTAACTAGACATCGTTTAACTGTTGCTACTGGCACTTCTATTAATGCATTAATGCATAATAACACTCATTTAAAGAAAATTATAGATAAATATGGCATTACTCCACAATATGCAGTGACTAATAGCCATTGGACAATGTTAGCAAAGGATGATAAACATATTTTGATGAGAATAACAGGTGGTGGTAATACTGGTTTGGAAGATTATAATCCTGCTTATTTTTTTAATTTAATCGCTAATACTGAACGAATTTTTGGTCATGACACTCTCATTGGAATCGTTTCTACTTATGGATGTCCTCGTAGTATTAATGCACGTAATTCAACAGAATTCTTCAAGGCTGCTAATGTAATTATATCATACGGAAAAGGAGGCACAGGAAATACGAAGCGTCATGCTGAAGCAATTCTAGCATTGCAGGAACTTGGATTTACAAGTGATGTTCAAGATTTTCTTAATCATCAAGTTAATTACAAAGGAGAGTCTCTCTTGAAAATAGCTACTTTCATTCATGAGAAAAGTAGAGCTATGAAATTTTTAATAGAAGACAATGGCCATTTTGATCGTCGACTTGGCTACAGTCATAAATTGTCCTACAATGAAAAGATTACAGTAATAAGTTGCTTATTTTGTATTATTACTTGTTTTGTTATGATAATGTAGATTGAAGAAATTCCTTATATTCATAAAAATGTCAAAAAGTCTTAAATATAGTTTACTTGAGAGTGTGGGCGAGATTGAAAAAGATATACCCACTTCCACACTCTTGTGTATCACTTTCTTTCATACAAGATCATGAGCGAATTTTATTTTTGATTAGTTGCAAAGTTTTTATAAAATCTCGAGGCGGTAAGACATATGTACGAGTTTGTAAGTATACTCTGACGAATATTAGCAAACATATAATTCTATATGTGCTGTCATGTATAAATATACTTTAAATAGTATTTGTGTACCTTGATCGAGCTCTTTTCCTGAACTGAGACACGTGACAACATTTAATCGAAGAATGTTTCCTGTTTGTCTTGTGTTATCAATCTAATCAACACTATATAAAATGTAACAGCCATATGAAATAGCGAAGAGTTCATGGATGAGAATACCGTCTTCTGCTTAGAACGATGTAACCATGAGAACACATTTTAAGACGTTCATATATATATTACCCTGACAATGATTGAGCATTCCTCTAGCGGGAACGGCATCTCGAATCGAATCTGTTTGATTTTGCCATATTTCACCATCGATCTGAATTATATGTTGCGCATGCCTCATCCATCAGTGTGAAGCTAGCACGAAGGAGCTAGCACGAAGAAACTGTGTGTAAGCTAAAAACTTTTCTCCAGAGTTTGTCCGGCCCATAAAACCTAGTCCATTCGATTCAGAATTTAATTCTGCATCGAATGGTAGTAGTTTTATTCACCGGACAAACTTCGGAAAAAAGTTTAGCCACATCTTTGTTTGCCTCATATATGTCTATTTATGTTTCCGATAATT